AACTCTCTCAGCTTTTGCTTGTCTGTAAAGGTTTTAATTTCTCCATCAAATCTGAATGAGATCCTTGCTGGGTAGAGTAATCTTGGTTGCAGGTTTTTCTCCTTCATCACTTTCAGTATGTCCTGCCACTCCCTTCTGGCTTGTAGAGTTTCTGCTGAGAGATCAGCTGTTAACCTTATGGGGATTCCCTTGTGTGTTATTTGTTGTTTTTCCCTTGCTGCTTTTAATATGCTTTCTTTGTATTTAGTTTTTGACAGTTTGATTAATATGTGTCTTGGCGTATTTCTCCTTGAATTTATCCTGTATGGGACTCTCTGTGCTTCCTGGACTTGATTAACGATTTCCTTTCCCATATTAGGGAAGTTTTCAACTATAATCTCTTCAAATATTTTCTCAGTCCCTTTCTTTTTCTCTTCTTCTTCTGGAACCCCTATAATTCGAATGTTGGTGCGTTTAATGTTGTCCCAGAGGTCTCTGAGACTGTCCTCAGTTCTTTTCATTCTTTTTTCTTTATTCTGCTCTGCAGTAGTTATTTCCACTATTTTATCTTCCAGGTCACTTATCCGTTCTTCTGCCTCATTTATTCTGCTATTGATCCCATCTAGAGTATTTTTCATTTCATTTATTGTGTTGTTCATCATTGTCTGTTTCATCTTTATTTCTTCTAGGTCCTTGTTAACTGCTTCTTGCATTTTGTCCATTCTATTTCCAAGATTTTGGATCATCTTTACTATCATTATTCTGAACTCTTTTTCAGGTAGACTGCCTATTTCCTCTTCATTTGTTAGGTCTGGTGGGTTTTTATCCTGCTCCTTCATCTGCTGTGTGTTTTTCTGTCTTCTCATTTTGCTTATCTTACTGTGATTGGGTTCACCTTTTTGCAGGCTGCAAGTTCGTAGCTCCCGTTGTTTTTGATGTCTGTCTCCAGTGGCTAAGGTTGGTTCAGTGCGTTGTGTAGGCTTCCTGGTGGAGGGGACTAGTGGCTGTGTTGTGGTGTATGAGGCTAGATCTTGTCTCTCTAGTGGGCAGGTCCACGTCTGGTGGTGTGTTTTGGGGTGTCTGTGGACTTATTATGATTTTAGGCAGCCTCTCTGCTAGTGGGTGGGGTTGTGTTCCTGTTTTGCTATATGGTTGGCATAGGTTGTCCAGCACTGTAGCTTGCTGGTCGTTGAGCGAAGCTGGGTGCTGGTGTTGAGATGGAGATCTCTGGGAGATTTTCGCCGTTTGATATTATGTGGGGCTGGGAGGTCTCTTCTTGACGAGTGTTCTGAAGTTGGCTCTCCCACCTCAGAGGCAGAGTCCTGACTCCTGGCTGGAGCAGCAAGAGCCTTTCATCCACTCGGCTCAGAATAAAAGGGAGAGAAAGTAGAGAGAATTAGTATAAGTAGGAGGAAATAGGAAAGAAAGAAAGAAAGAAAGAAAGAGAGGAGGGAAGGAAGGAAGGAGGGAAGGAAGAAAGAAAGAAAGAAGAAAAGAAAGGAAGAAGGCAAGAAGGAAAGAAAGGAGGGAGGGAGGGAGGAGGGAAGGAAGGAAGGAATGAGGGAAGGAAGGAAAAAATACAGAAAGAAAGAAGATACAGTAAAATAAAATAAAGTATAATAAAGTTATTGAATTAAAAAAATAATTATTTAGAGGAAAAAAAAAAGGGAAGGATAGAACCTTAGGACAAATGGTGGAAGCAAAGTTATAGAGACAAAATCTTACATAGAAGCATACACATATACCCTCACAAAAAGAGGTAAAGTGGAAAAAATCATAAAACTTGCTCTCCAAGTCCACCTCCTCAATTTGGGACGATTCGTTGTCTCAAAAAGGGAAGGAAGGAAGGAAAGATAGAAAGAAGGTAAAGTATAACAGAGTTCTTTAAATTAAAATTAATTATTAAGAAAAAAATTAAAAAAAAAAATGGTCGGATAGAACGCTGGGACAAATGGTGGAAGCAAACCTATACAGACAAGATCTCACACAGAAGCATACACATACACATTCACAAAAAGAGGAAAAGGGGAAAAAATCATAGATCTTGCTCTAGAAGTCCGCCTCCTCAATTTGGGATGATTCGCTGTCTATTCATGTATTCCACAGAGGCAGGGTACATCAAATTGATTGTGTAGCTTTAATCCGCTGTTTCTGAGGCTGCTGGGAGAGATTTCCCTTTTTCTTCTTTGTTCTCACAGCTCACAGGGGCTCAGCTTTCGACTTGGCCCTGCCTCTGCGTGTAGGTCGCTGGAGGGCGTCTGCTTTTTGCTCAGACAGGACGGCGTTAAAGGAGCCGCTGACTCGGGGGCTCTGGCGCTCTCAGGGCAGCAGCAGCCTTAGCGTCTCCTGCCCGTCTCTGGTTTCCGAGCTTTTCTCGCGCCCGTCTCTGGAGCTCCTTTAGGCAGCGCTCTTAAAACCCCTCTCCTCGCGCCCCAGGAAACACAGAGGCAAGAAAAGGTCTCTTGCCTCTTGGGTAGGTCCAGACTTTTCCCCGGACTCCCTCCCGGCTAGCCGTGGCGCACTAACCCCTTCGGGCTATGTTCAAGCCGCCAACCCCAGTCCTCTCCCTGAGCTCCGACCGAAACCGAAACCGAGCCTCAGCTCGCAGCCCCGCCCGCCCCCGGCGGGTGAGCACACGAGCCTCTCGGGCTGGTGAGCGCCGGTCGGCGCCGATCCTCTGTGCGGGAATCTCTCCGCTTTGCCCTCCGCGCCCCTGTTGCTGTGCTGTCCTCCGCGGCTCCGAAGCTCCCCGCTCCGCCTCCCGCAATCTCTGCCCGCGAAGGGGCTCCTAGTGTGTGGAGACCTTTCCTCCTTCACGGCTCCCTCCCACTGGTGCAGGTACCGTCCTTATCCTTTTGTCTCTGTTTATTCTTTTTTCTCTTGCCCTACCCAGGTACGTGGGGAGTTTCTTGCCTTTTGGGAGGTCTGAGGTCTCCTGCCAGCGTTCAGTAGGTGTTCTGTAGGAGTTGCTCCACGTGTAGATGTATTTCTGGTGTATCTGTGGGGAGGAAGGTGATCTCTGCGTCTTACTCCTCCGCCATCTTGGAAAGAGTCTCTGACTTTTTAATTTAAATTAATTAAAATTTAATTTAATTTAAAATTCAGCCCTTCAGCCATACTAGTCACATTTCAGTGCTCAATAGCCGCATGTTGTTAGTGCTACTGTATTAAACAGAGCAGATGTACAACATTTCCATCATCACAGAAAGTTCTGTTGGACAGCGCTGATATAGATGGTATTTAAAGCCATGAGACTGGATAAAATCATCAAGGAGTTGGGAATTCCCTTGTGGTCCAGTGGTTAGGGCTTGGTGCTTTCACTGCCATGGGCCTGGGTTGCATCCCTGGTCGGGGAACTAAGTTACCACAAGCCGCGAGGTGTGGCCAAAAGGAAAAAAAAAATCATCATGGAGTGAGAGTAGATAGAGGGGGAATGAGATTAAACTTGAAGAGGTTTAAGGACTGAGCCCTGCAACACTACAAATTAAGAGGTCAGGGAGATGAGGAAGGATCATCAAAGAAGACAGAAGAAGTGGTGAGTGAGGAAGTAGCTCATAAGAATGTGGTGATCTAGAAGCCAAATGAAGAAAGTATTTCAAGGCGGGAATGATCAACTGTGTTAAAATGCTGCTAATAGGGCAAGTAAGATGAGGACGAAGAATTACCCATTAGATTTATTAAAGATCACTGGTGTACTGTATGAACAATTCTTTGGAGTAACAGAGACAAAAGCTGTATTTGAGTGGGTTCACAAGAGAATGGGAAGGTATGAATTGGAGGGCAGCTGATAGAGACAACACTTTTGAGAAGTTTTGCTATGAACAGAAGCGGAGAAATGGGGTAGTAGCTAGAGAGGTAAATGAGATCAAGAGAGGGTTGTTTCATTTTCTTTTTTAAAGATAGGACTATGTACAGCAGAAATAGAAAATATGATTATGCAGGAGAGAGAGGGGAGAATTGTTGGAGAGATGTTCTAAAATAGGCAAAGGGGGAATTCCCTGGTGGGCCAGTGGTTAAGACTCCGCGCTCCCGATGCAGGGGGCCTGGGCTCGATCCCTGGTCAGGGAACTAGATCCCGCATGCTGCAACTAAGAGCCCTCATGCCACAACTAAAGATCCTGCATTCTGCAACTAAAGATTCTGCGTGCTGCAATGAAGATCCTGTGTGCTGCAACTAAGACCCGGCACAGCCAAATAAATAAATATAAAATAGGCAAAGGAGGGGTATCTAGTACGCAAGTGGAGAAGTTGCCCTTAAATAGGAGTAGGGGCCATTTATAATAACAGAAGAGAGGCTAGATCAGTATGTACACAGGCACAGGCAGTTGGGTAGATGTGGCAATAAGAGCTTGTGGAAGTTCTCTTCTGATTGCTTTTATTTTCTTCCTGAAGTAGGAAGCAGAGTCATCATCTGGTATGAGAATGGGAGAAGAGAAGGTATAAAGTAGCCATCTAGAAGGAATGGAGAATGAATGGACTAGGGAAATGTAGTAGGGGCCCACTTAAAGTTAGTGGTCACACATTTAAAATGAGACATCAGTATGGTTGTGTGTTCTTGTCACACACTAAGGGCCCACTTAAAGTTAGTGGTCACACATTTAAAATGAGACATCAGTATGGTTGTGTGTTCTTGTCCAACACTGATGGTTGAACTGATGCACAATAAATATTTTTAATTTAATTCAGTTGCTATGGAAGATCATAAGGAAGGGTCACATGGAAAGCGTCACCAAGAAAGTAACGTTTGAACTGGCTCTTAAAGAAAATATATGGTGCAGTTTGGTATTTGAAGGGGGGCGGGATGAGGACCTCCAGGTGGTCCTCACTCCTCATGTGCAAAGGCCCAGAGGCATGGAAGAGCAGAGTATGTTCCTTGAACATTTGGAAATCACTGTTGTAGGCTGTTTTCTACCAAAAAACCAACGTAGTGACTGTGCAAGATTAGAGAGGAAGACTGTCCTTAAAGGGTTGTTATAAATATTAAACAAGTTCACTAAATGTCATTTCTGTACTTTCTTCAGATGCTCTTAATGCTCAGCAGTACAAAGTTCTTATTGGTAACCGGGAGTGGATGATTAGAAATGGTCTTGTCATTAATAACGATGTAAACGATTCCATGACTGAACATGAGAGAAAAGGTCGGACTGCTGTATTGGTAGCAGTTGATGGTAAGGTTTTCCTTAAGTACACTATGACTCAGTGTCATGATTTCACTTGTTTTCTGTGTATTTTTGAGAGACATCTGAACTATGAGGGTTATTCAAAAGCAGCCTGAATGCAAAGTAAAAATGTCAGCAATACATAATTGTTACTGATTAATTTAAAATTCTCTTGCATTTGCCTGGCTTTGTTATTTTCCTCCGTAGCCTGTGGTTTTAAAAAAAGCTAATCAAGGATTTTTTTTAAACCTAAAAGTAACATTATAGCAAAGTAAAAGAATATTCATAATCTCATCATCTAAACACAATGTCAGTTTTAATTGACATTTCTGGATATATATTCATACACATCACACAGAATTACAATATTAGTACATATACTGTTTATAAATGGGTGCATTTTATTGTATGTAAATTTTACCTCAAAGTTGAATAAAAATTTAAAATTCCTTGTACACATACTGTTTTATTTTGTCCTATTTTATTTAATAGTAAATATTTCCAATCGTATTTTAATGTGGCACCATTTGTCATACTTATACACTATGACTAACTTAATCATTCCCCTGTTGGAAATTTAAGCTACTCCTAATATTTTATTATTGTAAGTAACACCACAGTAAACATCTTTGAGGTTTTAGGTATTTTGTTAAATTATTTCTTAGGGTACATTTCTAGCTGTGAGATTAATTAGTCAATATTTATAATCCTTGCTAAGTATGAAGGCAGTATCCTACTATGGCCTTTTTAGGCCCAGGAAGAAGCAGAAAATACCATTTATTTTTGTTTTTAAAATAGCTACTTGTAGTGATTTTTTTCCCAGTATAAAATGCCAGTTTTGTTTCCATCCACCCCTTCACCTTAAAAAGGGTGAAGTATGAGTTTTCAGTTTCATTTGCCTTTAAATTAGCTAAAGTGTTTGGGGCTATTGGCCAATACTTCTCTAAAGAAAGAAAGTAAGTCTTTTAGTATCCAGTAAAGTCTCTTCAGTTTCCTATCATTACCTTCATTAGTAAGCCCTACCTCACTCTGAAATTTTCACAACCAAGTATGGAGGCTTGTTGCAGGGTTTGTGGTATAAAGTCTATGTGGTCTTGGAGATATTTTGAGTTAAGCCAAGTCCTGAACAACTTCACTTAACAAAATTCATTTCTTTCTGAAATTTTAAGTCAGAATATTATTCTGCTTTCACCATATTCCAAATTCTATCTTCTGGTGCTCCTATATTAGATGAGCTGTGCGGCTTGGTAGCTATCGCTGATACAGTGAAGCCTGAAGCAGAATTGGCAGTCCATATTCTGAAATCTATGGGCTTAGAAGTAGTTCTGATGACTGGAGACAACAGTAAAACAGCTAGATCTATTGCTTCTCAGGTAATGGATTTACTTAGTTGTTGGGGTGGGAGTATGTGGTAACTTCTCATTCTTCACATACATTTCCTTTCTTGCCTTCAGCTGCTAAAGAAGTCATTTAACTATTATTTTCATTATCCCCGAGTAGCCATATCTGGTTCCTTAAAGAAAAATTGGCACACTATGCAGGAAGGACTTTGGGTTTTGTCTGGAACTGTTATAAGTAAAAAGCTATTTGCTTAGTTCATGGGATGCTTGAGTGACATTGTACACAGTTTCTGTTGATGCTTCCTTTGAAATGTTGCTGATAGTCTCCACTGGTGCTGCCAGCCTAAGCCAGGCTCTCATCCTCTCATGCCTAAAGTACAGCAGTAGCTCCACGCACGTTCCTCTCTAGTCCATCCTGGATACCACTGAGAACCATCTTCCATAGCATTCTTCTACTACTCACCCCGACATTTGCCTTCCCTCTAAAACTTTTCTCATATTAGTCTTTTCTATTTTGCAATGCCTTCTCCCCTCTTCTATTAAATAATAAAGATAATATATAAATACATTCTTGTATAAAAAATACAGAAGGCTATAAAGTAGAACGTTTAAGTCACCATTTTCCCAAGCCTCCCTGTCCAGCCCTACCCCCTTACACTTTTTCATATGCTTATATGTTCATATACAGATGTATAGTTCTGGTACTTTGAACATAAATTGGATCATTTTTGTACAACTTGTTCAGCAGTTTGCTTTCTTTCAGATAGCAATATATATGCCTTGGAGCTTTGTCCATGTCTGAACATATAAAGTTATTTCATTCTTTCTACATCATTGCATTGAATTCCATAGTACGGATGCGTCACAATGTACTTAACCATTCCTCTAATAAAAAAAAATAATTTATGTGGTTTTGAAAATTTTGTTTTACAAATAAGGCAGTAATATACATCCTTGGACATACTTATTCTTATACATGTACAGGTATGTCCAAAATATAGCTAGGGGTGGAATTGCTGAACCAAATGACATGCACACTTTGATAGATGCTGCCAAATACCCTCCAAAAAGACAGTACCAACTTACACATCCACCAACAGTATATAAGAGAGCTCATTTCCCCATATCCTTACTATCCCTGGATATTATTAGTCTCTTACAATTTGGACATTTGGTAGGTGGAAACTGATGGCTCATCATTGCCAAGTTATATTTCAGGTACTCAGTAATATTTCTTGAAATGAATGGAGTTTACTTTTGCCCATGTAGGTTGGCATTACTAAGGTGTTTGCTGAAGTTCTACCTTCCCACAAGGTTGCTAAGGTGAAGCAACTCCAAGAGGAGGGGAACTGGGTAGCAATGGTAGGAGATGGAATCAATGACTCCCCAGCTCTGGCGATGGCTAATGTTGGAATTGCCATTGGCACAGGCACAGACGTAGCCATTGAAGCAGCCGATGTGGTTTTGATACGGGTAAGTCCTATGGTCTGACCTTTGAGGAGTGTGAGACTGCTCTACATGGTCAGGGATAGTGTCGTATATTGAACAAAATGATTGTGCCCTTCGAATTCCCATGCTCCTAGCCATTGAGACTGGGAGAGTTCAAGATGGAAGTATGAGAAGTCTTAGTAATTACTTCCAGACTTTCTCATTTCAGCGAAGCAAATGAGAATGACAAGCTTCTAAAGTGAAGCATTAGATTTGGGAATATACGTATAATACTCTTATCTTCAACAAATACTTGCTGAGGTTATTTTAGTGGGATTTAGTCCCTGTACCAGCATGCAACCCTAAAAGTATTTTCAGAACCCTGAGAAAAATTCCTGAAAAACCCCTTCCAAGACAGCCTCAAATTTTTAGCAATATCTCAGATTTGTAGTTAATTCACATATTACCGTAAGGTACACATCATCTTCAGTATACACAGTATCAAATACAAGTTACTGGTCAAGTTACAGTCTCTTGCTAATATCACAAATATTTCTGTTCTCAGAATGATCTTCTGGATGTAGTGGCAAGTATTGATTTATCAAGGAAGACAGTCAAGAGGATTCGGATAAATTTTGTCTTTGCTCTAATTTATAATCTGATTGGAATTCCCATAGCTGCTGGTATGTGACAGTTAACTTGTATTGCTGTTTTCATGAAGTCGTTAGAGGCCTACCGTATTGGAAGTTTTAGTCTTCTTATTATTAGTTTTGAGCTCAGTTTTATATGTAACCTGATGGTATGGTGAGAGGTAATATTAAAATCAATAATTTAAATTTTCAGCATGTTCATTATGGCCTACAATGTATAAGCCTTCTGATAGGTTTATTTTATTTTTTACCTTATTTTTACCTTCAACTTTGTATTTTGAAATTTTCAAATGTACATAAACAAGGAGAAAAATGATACAATAAAACAATATACCCTTCACCGAAATTCACCAGTTAATAATATTTTGCCACATTGCTTCATCTCTTTCTCCATATACTCTCACACACATACATACTTATTTGCTTACTCATTTAGTTTTTGCTGAAGAGAATAAATTTAGCTTTAATCTCACTACCCGAATACAACTACTGTTGGTATTTTAGTATATGTCTTTCTGGTCTTTTTTACTCTGTATTGGTTTTTGTCTTCTTTCATTGCTGTAATTATAGCATGCAGAGAATTTTCTTAATGTTCTAATAGCCAACAGTTTTTTTTAAAGTTTGGGAACCAGATGTGAGAAAGACAGAGAGAGAAATTGAACAAAGGAATACGACCAAGAAAAGGCAGTTTAGAATTATTTAATAAGCATCCGATCATCCCCATTACTTAGGGGCTTGGTAGATGTTAGTATTAGTAATAACATAAGAAAAATAGTTATCAATTTCTTCTTGTTCTCTCTGGTTTTAGAGCCAAAGAAGTACTTGAGATAACATGAGAACAATTACAAAGCTGTTTATCAACAGGGACACACAGATGGAGAGGACAAAGAGTAAAAGAACAAAGTCCAGAGAGATTAATTCATGGAGCAAGTTATTTTTAAAAAATTATACAAGTAATATACGGTCACTGTATAAAAAGTAGAAAAAATAAAGATAAGCACATAAAAATTACAAGTACAGTAAGTCTATCTCATCCCCATCATATGAACAAATTTTAAAATGTCTGTCAAAACCAAGTGTGGATGAGTTTGTAGAATATGAACTCATACACTATTGGAGGGTTTGTGATCTGGTACAGCCACTTTGGAGAGCAACTGAGAAATATCTACCTAAAGTTGAAGGTGTGCATATGTTATAATCTAGCTGTTTCACCTCTAGGTATATACCCTAGGGAAATTCTCAAACACGTGCACAGGGCGGCATGTACAAGAATGTTCACAGCAACACTCTTAGTGAAAAATTGGCAACGATATAAATCTCTACCAACAGGAGGTTAAATTGCTGAATAAATATCAAAGAAGGAAATTATTTGTATATATGTATTAGGAACACAGTGGAAATCTGTTTAGTACTGTTTGGTCTAACTAATCCAAAATTGTTTTCTAGGAGTTTTTATGCCCATTGGTTTGGTTTTGCAGCCCTGGATGGGATCTGCTGCAATGGCTGCTTCATCTGTTTCAGTAGTACTTTCTTCACTCCTCCTTAAACTGTAAGTATGATAGCTCGCTCATGCTTCTCTTGTATATTCCTTTTATCACCCACAGTCAGTCTTGCTAGGTTTTATTCTTGTATTGATCAATGATAAGCCCAAACTGTTCTTAATAAAAAATGTTAACTACGTAATTATCACCTTATGTAGTATATACAGAGCAACCACAAGCACTGAGTGGGGTAAAATCTAGTACACTGGCTCTCAGAAGTAGGATTTCTGATCATGTGACCTCACACAACTCCTTTTGAACACCTTTATACATTTCAAACCAGGTTAATCTCTTTCCATTTTTGAATGTAACAAATGGCTAGTTCGCGTTTGATTATTTCAAACTAGTATACTTTTGCATCTTTTCAGTTACAGGAAACCAACTTATGAGAATTATGAACTACATGCCCGAGGCCAGATGGGACAGAAAAGTCCTTCAGAAATAAGTGTTCATGTTGGAATAGATGATACCTCAAGAAATTCTCCTAAACTGGGTTTGCTGGACCAGATTGTTAATTACAGCAGAGCCTCCATAAACTCACTGCTGTCTGATAAACGATCACTGAACAGTGTTGGTACTAGTGAACCTGACAAGCACTCACTCCTGGTGGGAGACTGCAGGGAAGATGACGACAGTGTGTTGTAACAGGCCACAGAGAGTGCTGCTAGATAATGTTGTTCTGCACTGACACAGCATTCATGATCACCTTAGCTTTTTAAAATATTGCAGGGCTTTATGTTGGTCTCATGCTCTTATGTTAGGGAATCTATTTGAATTGCATTTGTCTAATGGCAAAAATATCTTTTTCAGGGCATCAGCTTGGAACCTAGCTTTATTGAAAATGAATTTCCAGTATTTTTTGTTTTCACTAGCAACAGATAAGGTAGACCAGGGAGGTTTACAAGTCCTACAACTGAAGATTGCTGAATTGCTGCTAAGGTCATAGATAATTTTTATTTGACCAAAAAAAAAAAAAAGTTCAAGAAAAGATCATTGAAAATTTGAAGATTTGAGCACATAATCTTGAGGAGATTCTCGAGCCCGCCTCCCTGCCAGATTGGGGAGCAACGGCTTTCAAAGCACTGTATAAAGAATCCTGTTTTAGAAGCAAAATAGTAGAAACTGTTTAAAAATAGGCAGGCCTATTTATTACAGGCTTTCTTTCCCCCTTCTTCTGCCTGCATCTTTGTCTTTGCTGTTGCTTTTTTTTTTTTTCTTACAGCTTTATTGGAGTATAATTGCTTTACAATGGTGTGTTAGTTTCTGCTTTATAACAAAGTGAATCAGTTATACATACATATGTTCCCATATCTCTTCCCTCTTGCGTCTCCCTCCCTCCCACCCTCCCTATCCCACCCCTCTAGGTGGTCACAAAGCCGTTGCTTTCTTAAATGCCCCAATGTGTTTTCTTTTATTATGTTCTTTCAAGTGAGCTAAGTGTAGGTGATTTCTCATTGACAAAAATAACTGACAACTTTTCCAGTAACTTGTTTCTTTATCTTGTAGCTCAAAAGACCTTCAGGGCCTATATGGTTCCCTGCTTCCCACCTTTCCATTGTTGTAAAAAATATATCAGATTCCTCCTTCAGTGACTCCCTAGCTCTGTGCAAGCTTTCAGTTCACTCCTGCTGGGTTCAGCTATAAGTTGTTCTTAGTATCATCTATCAGCCTCAGTTTAGAAACTTAAGATTTTGAGCCACTTCTACAATTGATTTTTTTCCAAAGATTGACACTACCATGTTTAACATGTACCGGTCATATAAAATTACCTGGATTCACTAAATTTGTCCTTTTCTGGAGAGAATGCAAGACATTAGCTGATATTTATAATTTAATAGATTTTAATTGTCTTTTATTGTTTTAGATAATCTCTCAAAATGACTTTAAAATAATGCTATTACACAAAGCCGCTTTTACCAAGAAATACAGTAAATTGTAATACAGAAATGAGAATTCCCCTAGGTTGTGATACCTTTTAGCTAAATCTATACTTTTCTCTAGTTTAAAACATTTGCACTTGCTAGTTAGTGTGGTTGGCATATTCACGGGCTTGTTCTCATCAACATATAAATTTAGAAATCCCCCTGTGAGTGCCTGGGAGTTAATACACTGGTCAGAGATCTGGTACTTGTATCACTATTTAAATTAACTTGTTAACTGCAAGGTGGATTTCAGATGCAGAATATGTAAGTGAAGAAAACTCATACATAAATTCCTAACATCTATTCCCATTGTCATATATAAAGCTGGTAGCACAATTCCTAGCACATAGGATCTGTGCTCAGTAAATGTTAGTTCTTATTTCCCCTTGAGGTCAGTGATAAATATCAAAAATCGCTTTTACAGAGCAGAGTCTAAAATCAGGTGGGGGTGGGGGATGGGGTTCTTCGCTCCTTTCCAACTTCCTTTTTCTCTTGTTCTTTCATATGCACTCAGAAAAGTTTACAACATAATTCCATGCTGACTTTTCAGATTTGGAAAAGATCTCATTTTTATCTCAGCTATCTTAAAGACAGAGCTGAAACTTGATGAAGGTGCTATTAATCTAGAAAAGCAAACCAGTTTTAATGAAATATGAGTTTGTAGGTCTAGGCTCTTTTTTAGACCAACACCTGTGCCATCTTCCATGCTTTCGATTTGAATTTTAATATTTGTTTTTTATTTTAATTCCAGTGGCCCATCATACCACAACTTGTTTCTTCTAGAAGAAATAGCTAATACGGCAAAGGTATAATATAGACTTTTGAAAAAGAAACACTTTTCTCTGTGTGTCTCTCTCTCCCTCCCTCCCTTCCTCCTCCTCCCCCTTCCCCTCACTTTCACTCTTCTATCTCTCTGAAGCACTTGAACATAGCCAGTTACTACTTTTATTATTCTGTGTGTGTTAGAGTTGTCCACTTGGCCTCACATGCCAAGGGATCCACATGTCATAGGGCAATGAGAAGAGCAGCCTATATAATCTGGGAAAAATCAAGGATGTAATTTCAGCCCTTAGTACAGGAACAGAAAACATGCTGTTTATAAAGAATCCTGCTTTAAATATCTATAGCCATCTTTGAATTCTCTACCACAAGTCTCTTGCAATTCTGAACTCCCATTAGCTTCATAGAGCAGCTGTAGTCACCGGAGAGAGACATATGGAGGGGATCAAAAACACTGCTTTCAGTTAGTAACTAGCTTTAAGTAATTAGTTACTAGTGAGAACAAATTTTATAAATGTGTGCGTATGCATCTGTGTTTATTCATATAATACATATATACATATATTACCCATATAGAAGGAAAATGGATTTATATTTGAATTTGATATTAGAATATTTGAAGTTCTTTATTTTTTGTTCCTTTGTCACTCTTTTGTATTCACTCAGCAACCATGCCCTCAGTCTGAAGATAACAAGGATGTTTTAATATCCAGTGCTGGTTCAGACTCAACTAAGGGGCACCTTTTATCTTAAATATCCAAAGATGCCTTTTAAATTTCAACGGTTAAAACATAACTGTTTAGTGTTATAGTCTAAAGAAGTATGGTTGTCAGTTGTGAAAATAGAAATGTTATTTTTCGTAGTTTAGTATCAACGTTTTAGATGTTAGATTTGATGCCTTGTGAACAAATAATTTTATATTGTGCTTCAAATTTTTAAAAGTTATTCTTTTATTGAATGTATTCTTTGTTCAAAATGCTTAAATAGCATTGTAGGCAAGATGTTTCCAAACATTTAAATGTGCATACCTTTTATGTATACAGCTGAAAATCAAGAATGTATGTTCTTAGAGAATTTTTTCCACTACTTATGGATCTTGCTTTAAAATTATTTTTCTTAGTATTTATTTTACTCTATTTTATTATTTTCTTTGGCTGAGGCATCTGGTTACTGGTTGTTTTAATAAGATAAAAACATTCCTGGAATCACTCCTTTTGGATATTTTTGTTTCTTTTCTCTATTTTAAAAATATTATTTTACCAAATATAAAAAAATGCAGATTCATGCCAAATTATTAGCTATTTTTACACTAACTTTCTGTAGTCCTTCTGAAAGTTTATCTGGTATGAGTAACCAGATAAAGCACAAAAGCATGAATTCTTGTTCTTCAATTAAAAGAGATTCTCTAATGGCACTGATAGTAAATGCCTTTTGTAGCCAAAACCAGGCGTCTCAAACTTATGCTTTTAGTTAAAGAAGTGTTTAACTAACCATTGTTGAACATTGATTGTTTGATACCCAAAACAGCAGTGGACGATGTTGTGCAATAATCATCTACTATAGTCAAGATATTCAGTAGTTTGTTTTTCCATAAGCATGTAATTGAACATATATCTGCCAAGGATGTGCCTTCAACTTTATAATTATAGTATTGTAAAAAAAATGATTTTTTTTTTGGTCAGTGTCTCTTTTGTTAAATCATCCAACTCCTCTACCAGCAGTTCCAAACTACCCTGTGTTTTTAGGTGTTGTGTTCTGTTTTTTTTTTTTAAATCAAGGGTGGGGCAGGATTGGAGGCAGCACCACACATTCACTAAGAGTGGGAGGGAAGAAATCTATTTTCCTTCAGACTTCACCTGCTGGATCTTTTAGTGCGGATGAGAAACAAAGGAATGTAATTGTCCTCCTTTCCTTTATAGTCTATAATACGTTCTTTATAGATTGTCTACCCCAAATGAGCTAAATGGAGGCAAGAGCTTTTCTTGCCTTTGGGGAGCCATATACAGTGTGTATGAGGATCCCACACAAAATGCATCCCCATACCAAACACTGCTTCAAGTTAAGGAAAGGGTTTTAAACCTATTTGTAAGGAAAAATGAAGTTTTACTTCCCTCCCAAACTTTGGGATTATTCAGGGTATTGAAATAGGATTAGAAATGGAAATATAATAGTAAAATCACTGAGGTATCCATTTAGCTGGCCAGCCTCCCTTTCCTATTGGCGCCTTGACTAACCTCTGAGAAGGATGTGCAGTGATAGTGACATCCCAGGTGAGGTTTCAAAACCTTCCAGACAAAAACTAAACAAAAAGCCAGAAACCTTCCAGTTGGGGAAGGCTTTAAAGGCCCTGCTAAGATTCAAATAGAGATGAGAGAGGTGAGACTGCCTCTTTCACAAATTTCACCTCAGGCCAGCCAGCCCTACTTGCTTAACAGCTTCATTTTCATAGATGTGACCACTAGTTGTGGAAATGAGTTATGAGTAAGGTATGAAAGGCAAGGCTCTTGAGGACAATGTTTAAGTGAAATTGCTAGTATAAATAGGATCTCATGCAATTTAAGAAATCTGAAAACTTCCATGCAGGCAGTTCTCTCTGTGGAGAAGTTTAAAATAGGCTGAGTCATCTTTGGCATATTGTACCTGTTGTCCTCGAATGGCCCCCCCTTTTCATTGTCAGCGCCCTTCCCCCAGCCCCCAGGCCTGTCTTTAAACTGAAGTGCTGCCATTACTTCAACATTACTTGCTTCACCCTCACCCAATCAAAACTTCAATTTCTTCATTGCAGTTATTATCACCACATAATAAAAAAACTGAGATTAATCCATCCTAAAGTACCAGTGACCTTTAGATCTAGCCAGAAGTACTAGCAATTACTTGAAAAGATTATTTTTTAAATCCAAATAACTTTATAACTATTGAAATGAAAAACAACAGGCCATGTGGAAGAGGTTATTTGGTAGAGCCCAGGATCAGCCCTCCTAAGCTCTTCCTTCTTGCAGCTTTTTAC